ATTCACTCGAAAGCCTTTGTGCTGGCGAAAGTAAGGTTATGACAAAGTTCGAATTTTCCACTGTTGATTTAGGCTGCAAAGTTAGGCTTGTTAGTAAAACATAATAAATTATTAATCTTATAATAATTCGATGTTAAGCCTAAAAAGTCGACAACCGACACCATTTGCACATAAACGGAGCTTAGTCAGCTATGTACAACGGTAAATGGGTGGGGGATGCGGCCGAGAGTTTGTTATTGTTTTGGGGTCTATTCATGCTTATTATTGTTGCTGTTTTCATTATTGAATAACAATAGCAATTGTTATATTGCCATTATGTCTTTGTGAGCGCTCGTTTCCTAAACTTTCCGGCGCACCTTAACACACAAACTCAAATTTATATAAGGAGTAGAGGCGAATTCACTCAGCACCTTTGTAAATTATTAACGATGAAATTATTATGCAAATATTTACTTTGCCCAACTTTGGAAATTCGTCGTAAATATTTTGATTTACTACAGTTAAATACTTTAAAATAGTTTGGGGCCTTTTGGGAATATGTTTCGGTTTGAAATATTTGTAATTATTTAGAGCTTCAAATCGTTTTGTTCCTTCGTAGTATGACTTAGGGCTTCAAATACATACTTATAATATATATGTATTTTAGCAAATATATCTCTTTGATATTATTTTCCGCTGCACAAAAGCACACTTAAGAATTCTCTTCCCAATTTTTCGATGAAACTTATGAGTTTTGTTATTTCAAAAATTCAAGTCGTATGAAATATAAATAATATGGAAGAAACTTACTTCGCGAGACAATTTTAGTAATTCTGTAGCACCACACAACTAGAGTCGCCACCGACTTGTTTGCAAGTGACTTTCCAAAATGCCACCAGAAAGCGAGCTCATCGTCGCGTACCCTCACCTTTTCGACGTTACCAAGACATAGAGAAGTCATGAGGTGGGTGGCGATGGGTATTCTCGGAATTATCGACGCCAAGCCAAAAGAAATTCCTTCCACAAAGATTTCACGGTTGCATCTCCTCCTTGTTTCCCATAAGCGCCTTAATGTATGCAAATTAATGAGTTCACGGGAAAAACAACCGTATGGAAATTTTTATTAAAACTGACATAATTGAACGGCACGGAAGTACCCAACATATGTGATTGAAGGAGAAGAAGCTGAATGTGATGAAAAATGGAAACCATAATTCAGGATGCATCCACACTCATTTTAATACATATACCATAGATACACACGTTTGTGTGTATATTTGAACAAATTTACAATGTAAATGTATGTGGCATACCGGCTTAAACAACAAATGCTACATACATCATGCACCCTCGCCAAAGCGGTGCGCAAATATTGCCTGCGGGTCCTTCATATGCGGCGCGAACTTCACTACGAAAGACGCAGCAGCTATGGAATTTTGTGTTCAACGCTTGAACTGGCTCTGATGCAGCCATAAATTACGGACACATTTACTTTGCGCGGCGTCATCCAGCGAAATTTGCTGTCAGCAGTGACGTCAGTGGCAAAACAAATGGAGCCGAAGAACAGTGGACGAAAATTTAAGTATTTCAATTACGAGAATATTAAAATGAAATATTTTATGCACAATTTGGAAAAATATGATAATATGTAAGCCTTTTAAGCCAGAGCGCCGCTAACATTAAATTTAAAGGTGAAAAAATTGGAGCTTCTTCGATCGAATATAGATTTTCGGAAAGTGCGAGAGTAAAATAATATGAGACAATGAGATCATCATGTTGCTTCCAATTATTACTGTTTAATTCGGTATATATTGATATTTCCTTTTCCTTAGACCTTAGCATACAAAATCGGTTTTGGGATAATCGAAATCCGAATATGCCCAAGGTCCATAAAAAAATTCATTTATAAATAAAGAAACAGTCAGAAGAATGTTTAGATAAAATAAAAGCCAAGTGTTGTTCCATTCAGTTAAGGTATTTAGTCGAGGTATTAGCATGTCCTTGTTAATATTCCTCTGTCATTAAATTTTACTAGATATGATTAGCATTCATTCAACCCACTACCCATGCATCATCGAATTAACGCGAATTTGACTGAAGGAGAATGGACTGGTGTATGGCAATGCTTTTATTAAAGTAATAGGTGACAGTGGCTACCAAACTAATTGGCTACATAAATGTATATAATTTTTCTATTTCGAATGTAATTGAAAACCGGTTACTCAACTTTTCGATGAGAGTGTGTCCCATCAGCGTAAGGCTTAATACTGATTATATTATCTGTCTTAAAGTTAGTAAAGACCTTCGCAAGGGCCTTTCTTAAGAGGAAACAGTAAAACCTCCAATTCTCAACAACGCTACGGGAACTAATGGTCAAGTAAACCTGGTGTTTGTCAATAAAAAATTCGATCTGTAATGTTTGCCAGAAGTTCAAGTAAACAAGCGTTTTCAAAAACAAAAACATAGAGAACACAATGCAATTGGAGAAAGACAAATTGCTTTATTATTTTGACAACGAAAGAGCTTAGCGCCATAATTCGATACGAAAATCTCATGCCATAAAAAGTAACAGCCTATTTCGAGCCTTCATAATTTCCCAAAATACAAATAACAGTAACAGGGAATTTCGTAACTTTGTTTACACACAAACACGCGTCCACCATCCCGCGCTGGAACCATGAGCCGAAAGACGCTCGAGTGTAGCAAAAAAAAACAAAAATTATAGGCAAATAAAAAGTTATATGCCTCGAATATTTGACCATTCACATTGTTTTTCCTTGTCATTGTTGTTGTATCATTACCGTTATTGCCACGAGAAAAGAAAGAAATAAACATTAAAATGACACAAGTGACGAGCCACGGCTGACTGCCCCGGTCGCAGCGCTGAGATGGCGTACGAGCAGCCGACAGACAACAATTGGATCCTAGCGTAATGTCCCTCACACTCACAATATCGGCTATTATCACTTTCTTTGAGAAAATGTGTGCGAGAACGTCAACAGAAATGGTGAACTGTCTCCATAAATGAAAGTGAGGATACCAGGCTGTTGGTCGGGGTCGATTGAAAACTGTAAAATCAATTATAATGAACAGATGGTGGAAAAGGAACAAAACGCAACAAGACAATTACAGTGCTCTCCAGCCACAGCAATAAAGAAAATAAAATATCCACTAGGGCAAACAAAAGGTGCAAATAGCCATTCTGGCAAAGACAAAAGGGCCATAAAATAACTGTTTTTATATAGGCAGAAAAACAAAGAAAAGGGTAGAACAAATAAATGAAATTAAGCCAGTGCCTTTACTGCTCGCGTTAAATTGCCAGCATTTGCCAAAAGAGCACAAAAACAAAAAAACAAAGGCGACAGAGCAGGAAGAAATCTTCGTCTGAAAGCGGGTTTCCAAGAGTGCATTGAAGCAACAATTGGCGAAATAACACTATAAACAGTTTGACAGTTTACCAAAAGAAGATGAGTACTATTTTCTTTCCTAACGCAAAAAGAAAGGGTTATTATTATATGTGAATGAAACTCCCGTCGAGAACATAGAATTCTAAGAACACTTGAGGGCTAATGTTAGTGCAACAGTTCCTAACACCTTCATCTTCTGATTATATGGACGCTATTGAATTACCAAAATATTATCTCCCCTGTTTAAGATTAGATTGGGAATATGTCTTCATCGAACACTATGGGGTCCTTTGAAGTGCCAAACTCTGCAAGCTCGTATGTGTGGGCAACTAACTAAGTATTTTGTATTGAAAATATTTCCGCAAGCTTTCGTCTAATTGCCCCATTTGTTTTCTGCTCGAAAACTACTTCCAGGTGCATAGGATGTTTGCCTCTGCTGTTCGCAATTAGTTGGGCGAAATGTCTGATTGCAAGCAACCGGAAGATTTATTACACGGGAGCAACAACAGACAACGGACCAAAGCAACTTGAATGCGGCTGCGAAAAGCTGAAGCTGCAGTTGCGCAATGCGTCTGAAAAGATAGCGGATAGCAAGTGTGAAACGTATGAGGTAAAGGCAAAGAAAAACCTGCAAACTAAAAGAACTGAAAAAATAAATTAGAGCAAAGTAAAATAAGTGAACAAAAAATTAAAGGATGTTTTGAAAATTTTGGCCAAATCGAAACCGCCAAACTTGAAATTTCAGCGTGATTACTTTCATACGTGCACATGCTTATATAAGTATGGGGCAGCTTGTGCACCGTAAGTTGGTATGCTACGGACATGCAACAACGATGTTTCCACTAGTGTTTTCCCTTTCCTGGCAACTCTCGAAGGCTCGTTATTGTCGGTAACAAGTCATGGTTGCAGCAAAGTTGTTTGGTCACGGAAACCATTGGGCTGACTGGCAACATAAGCAGGACAAAGTATTCGCAAGTTTCTGCTTCTTCGCAGCATTGATTTGCCGTGTCCGAACTTTGGAATGACTTGAACGGATGTCATGCGAATCAATGAAATAAGTGGAGAAACTATTAAGAGGTCATTAGAGATTACGAAAACACGTGCATGGATATGTTTGCAAATAATTATACGCATTCTAAATGGCAGAAAAATTGCAGCTTGAGATTTCTTTCACTTATTACGGTACAATTCCCATATACGCTTGCAAAAACCCGAGCGCTTCCGCTTTACGTAGCCATTTTAGAAAGCTTTTTTCTCCTAGTATACAAAGTCAAATTAAGTTTAATGCACAACTAAATATTCAAAAGAATTTGATTGTAAATTCTATTGTACCTCCAGATCTATTAACAGATCATATTCCACCTTTCGGCCGGGAAGCGCATATGTTTCGCCAGCAAAATCTTTAAGGGAAGCCTAATTTGTATTGCGGCATCCAAATAACAGTTTGCTTTTTCAAATTAGCAAATAATTTATTTGGTCGCCATGATTAGGATTGATACGCTTCAGGTTCCTTCCTTCGAAGGAACCAAATTACACACACACATATACAAACATACACATACCTCGGAGTAACAATCATGAACTTGTTTAATTTTTATTCCTTTCCAATTGCAGGTGTGGGTGAGTGCGGGAGATCAAACCCTCAAACACCAGCTATATAAACGGACCACAATATGTTTGTGTCCGGTTCAAATAAATTAAATCAACATGCACATATACGCAAATAATACGAGAGAACAAAATTCAACGACTAAATCCGGTTTAGAGCCTGCAGCGCCACCGCTTTTAAGCATCTGCCTTAAACTCATTCATAAACATAAGCGCATACGCCTGTGAGTTGACCTCAATTGAAAAATGTATAACATTATTGTAGAGATTAAAGTGCAATTCGCCAGCGTTCAATAATAAATCCCAACATATAGTGAATAAATAATACGTCTATATATTTATATATGTGAACATGTATGCGTGTTTAATTTAATATCATAAAAAATAGAAACGTTTACACTTCCGGTGCAATTGCAGCAGACAAAGCTGACAAATAGGTGAACAACAACAAGAATAAAATGGCTGCGAAAATCTGCATTTGGACATATTTGAGCGCGCTCCGCCTGACTCTCTTCGCTTTGCCGCTGCTTTTGGCAAACACAGAGGCGCGAATCGGTAAGTGCTAACATACATACATACCATACTTATGTAACCATATGCAGAAGCTATTCAAAATTTATAATTCCACACATGTTGCCAACTATTGTGCATATATTTAAGTACAACAGCTGCCCAGAAAACATGAAAAACTGCAAAAGAGAAAAACTAACTGGAAATTAAGTAAGCAATTAAAACCAGACTTCGGCTCAGATGACCGAAGGATTTTAAATGAGGATCCAAATTATAAACAGGCCAGAGTAAGCCTCAAGGAGTAGACAATAGTGGCAATAGTCGTAAGGCGATGCAAGCTGCATTTACTTCTAAAATGATTTTTCAAAAAATGACTGTGATATCAAATATGAATAGCTGTAATTTTTTTCAGTTGAGCTTATGGGATAAATATGTAGTAGTAGAAAATATTTTAGCTACATATACCATATGAGTGTGTGTGCGATGGTCCAATTTACTGACAAATTAAATGGAAGAATACTTAAAAGACAAGTGAAAATCAATTTAGGGTTACTATTGGGCATCTGAGCCGAATGTGTGAATGCTTATGTGAATTTGTCCCACAACCATATAAAGGTGCTCATACATTTGTACCAGTATATGGCGAAATTGTTTATCCAATTCGGGTAGCAATTTAGATTGCATACAAACCCGACTCCCTCAAAGCGATTCCATCGACTGTTTCCAATGCTCTTATGGCATTGTATAAATTTTCAAATTCCCATATCAGTGTGATATGAACACAGATTCTCAAAGGAACGTGTGTTTGCCATGCTAAACGACTTACAATTATTTGATTTCATCAACTTGTTACAAAAACAACAAAGACCCCATCACTACAGAAATCATCGTGAGCGATAACATGCCTTACACAATGTGGGCGTGACTTAGCAAATAAATACAGAACTCATCCTCGTCTACAAGGCTTAAACTACATATTTAGTTTGCACTAGGAGAGTCCGTACTGCCACACGGTGTTAGGTTTGGATACGTGTATGTATGTGTGTATGCCTCAGGACACACAAAAGCTAATAAACAATGCAAGAAGAGCTCAACGTGATCTATAAGTCTGAAAAGTCCCTCAAATTATGCCTTCCAAACATCGTTAACCATTCCATGACTAAACTGATTTCTATTAGAAAATAATGTGGGCGTGTGTAATTTTAAATGCACAGGAGCTCACAGTTTTAAAGTAACTGTAAAGGCATGTGTGAATCCATATGCTCGCATTTCGCATAATCCACTTACGCTCATAGGTGTACATTTTTAATTTAATTAATCAACGTGAACATCTTGGAGAATTTCCATTTACTTTGGCTTAGATACAAGACACTCAGGTGAGCGTGTGTGTGAATGTTCACTAAAAGTCTCTTAACGACACGAAGAATTTAAGTCAAATGCAGATATTCTTAGATATTCTTTCTTTGCATTTTTACAATTTTCTTAACTCTTCTAAAATTTAAATTGGTTTAACCCATTTACCCATTAACTCAGCCATTAACACTCGACCCTCATTCGCTCATTCGCTCATTCACAGCAATACACAGCGAATAGCTGCCAAGCTACCACTATTTGATTTGTTGGTATTTGTGCTATTGCCACTGCTGTTGGCTTAATTAACGCATAAAGCTTAATTGAAAAAGTTTTAAGTTCACTTTCTCCAACAAAAGATTTGCTACACGAGCAAAATGTCTCCCGCACCGTCGTCGCTTTTCACGCTTAGAAAGCCGTCCTGTATCGAAGTTGACATACTATACACCCACTATATACACACGTCTATATATGCGTCGATATCAGCATTTTTGTAGACCTTTTTGTGCATGAGTGTGCATAAATTGCAGTAATTAAGCTCATTTATTCACCATAAAGCTCTAAAAAGTTATCTGCAGTAATATCTCAATAATCTAACATTTATTTTGTATAATTATTCACAGGTAATATTTATAATTACATTAATAGTTTTTAAATAACAGTTCATCACAAAATACCAATTTGTCATATGTGTAGTATCACCAGTTATACTTGTAAGTACGTAGTAGTTTGCAGAAACGCTTTAAATCTCAGTCATTTCACTCGCAGATAGGATGTAGTTCATTTGTGGACGAGAGAGTGGCATTTACTTGCAGAAGGAATATATTTCGTTCTTTGTGCAGGGCTTGAGACAACATTCGTCATATATGCCGCGGCGACGACGATTTTTAGCCACTGTATCTACTTGACCGCCGTGAATCTTGGCCAAGAATGGAAAGTTCGCATAAGCAAAAGGCAGCTCAGCGTCCATTTCACCGTTTTCTTGGTCAGCCCATTCTCCTACATTAAGACGAAATTTAAAATTAACGAAGAATAAACATTCCAACAACCGGCAACTCACTTGACTTCTTGAATCTGGTATTGAAGCCATTTTCGCACATGCTCGAGAGCACCATATCCAGGTAGGGGCCACAGATGGTTTGCTGGCCAAAGCTTGCTTCCATTTGTGCCAACATAATGATCAGCAAAGCGAAGAGTTTCAATAAGTTCAAAGGCATTATAACCTGCGATTTATTATGAGGTGTTATTTTAAATGCTCTCAAGTTAGCCCAATGCTTTAGCTTATTTTAGTTGTACCAAGCAACTGATGTAATTCGCAATCCTTCTCTAGCTTTTATACCAGTGTTTATACCTCGCACGGCTCCGTGTTGATGCGTTGTTGCATACGTCACACCATCAGATGCCAATTGCGATTAATCCAGCCGCCAAAGGAATGAGGCTTGCCAACAGCCATTCTTCAAAATCTAAGGCATTGCTATGACCGATTGGAACCGGGACTTATAGATACAAATCTAAATGATTTTAAATTGCATGTTATATCTTAACTTCAATATAGTAGTTTAGTCATTCTGGGTCTCGCAATTCTCTGATCGCAAAGCAATATTTTAAAATCGATAAGCGACTGCGGTAAATGTACTGCAACATCTTACTAAAACAGTAACAAATTATATAAATAATTACCAACTGTACAACAAAAGTCCCTGAATTTTCTAAAATTCTTCGCTTTGCTACTCATTGTGTTGGCGTAATTCAAACAGCCTTATGATCAACAGGATCTATGTGGTCGCTCACTGGATATGGTACTCAGCACCGTGTGCGGAAATAGCTTCAATACCAGATTTAAGAAGTCAAGTAATTGGCCTATTGCTCGAATATTTATTCTTCATTAATTTTAATTTTCTTCACAAATCCTAAATCTAGTGGAGTGGACTAAATAGGACAACGATGAAATGGACCATGAACTGCCTTTTCCTTATGGGTCTCTCCCGTCTTAACCAAGATTCACGACGGTCAGTGAGAGGAATTCAATAAACTGCGATTGGAACTAATATTTATTCAGCAATCTACATAATCGTTAGTCATATTAAATAACGGGGATTTTGAATGATATTAGATTGTAGTTTAAATATGTTCATAATATATTGTATTGATTTGATTAATAAATAGTAAATAGAAGATTAACTCTTACCAAACTGTTCATGAAATGCTCGTCCACTTAGGCTGACATGCCTTGGCTTGATTTCGATTTTAAAGTTTGAAGATGTTTTTGTAATTAGCTCTACTAAATCATATTAGTGTAATTTTATGCTAGAGATGCAGATTATTACCTACTAAAATTCGATTTGCACTCAATAACATTTAAAGTATAATAAATAAATTATCCGATACAATGAACTTTAAGGCATTCCTTTGTATACAAAATCATGTGGCCTGAACGTATTCTTAGAGGAGATCACGATAAATAGGTGAATTTTATTCCATAAGCCTATCTATCCGCCGATCTGCCCTTCGAGCGATAACTAATTATTTAGAAATTTAGACATCTTGATAACGTACAGTGTTATGTGTTTTCATAGTACCTCGATCAATCGACCAATGTGATCCAAATATGGCACATCTTTATTTTACAGAGCAAAAATTGGCTATATCCGACTAAAGCCACGCCTACATCACATTCTTTCACTTTAGAAGATATAAAATAAAATTTAGCACGAATAGTGCATTTCAGGAATGGTAACTCGTATCAAAAAAAAGTCGAAATCGGATTTTAACTTATCAAGCTTAGTAATATTTATTGTAATATTATAATTTTCTGACTTTTGGTTGATTATATGTCGTAAATATCGGTTCATATTTAAGATCTCTAAAAAAATTAGATGAGTGTATTATCTTATCTCCAAGATAATCTTGGAGATACTGTGGTTTGTGCCGAAAATTAATGAAATCAGGTCATGAATTGCCCCAACCCGCAAATATTACTTACAATTAATTAATGATCGGTAAATGCTTGAGTTATCTTAATAAAATTGGGTGCAAGTATTATCTACAGCATACTTTGGTTTAATGCCCAGACCTTTTTCTGGTTCCAATATAACCAATATAATGATTCACGACCATCCGGTTGACTTTATACCGTTCTATCGGTGTGATGTTTTTATGAAATTTAGCTGACATTTTCTTGTGGAAACAATATCACTAAGTCGCCCGAAAATGAATTGTTCCCTGCTCCCTGTCTATCGTATGTAATACATATGTGCATATGTGTGAAAGTATTGCAAATATAAATGAATGCGTCTTGGGAATCTATTCCGCCTACGGATTCATACTCCTGCCATTGAGAGTGCGGTAATTAAATGCAAAAAAAAAAATGCTTCTTGGCGAGTCTTTATCTTGAACTTTGGGGCTAAAAATTGTGACATGGGTATCGTATACACGTGAGCTTTTACATATTCTCATGATGGCACCCACCAAATACATGAGCTCTATTCTGCGAAGTCCCTCGTATAAAAGCACAATAAAACGTTGCAAACGACATCAGTTCCTTCGCATAGCTTCAGCAGAGCGTTGTGTGAAAACAAAGGATCATTTTTGACGTATACACATACAACTGAATCAATAAATCACAACTATGATTTTAAGTTTGCTGAAAATTTGCGCTTTTCTAACGGTTCTTCTAGTCAGCTTGCAACATATTTCGGGGCAACAGGCTGTTTGCGGTCCAGCCATAGACGCAGCACTCAGTCTTATGTGCGAAAACGGCTATAATCCGAAGTTCAAGAAATCACGTGAGTAACCGTTATTCGCTTATTGCTTTTTCTCAAAATAATGGACAATTTTCAATTTATTGAATTGTAGTGGAATGGGATGACATAGGTAACACTGAGCCCAAGGGACTGTCGCCCTTCGGCATGAAGGACTTTCACTTCTTAACCAAACTTCATGGCGGACAAGTCGATACAGTAGCTAAAACTCGTCGTCGCCGGGAAGGTGTCTACGATGAATGCTGCCGCAAAGCCTGCTCCTACAGCGAGTTGTTATCCTACTGTCAATAGGCTTTTCCATTTCTAAAATCTTGTAACTGACTACCACGTTAAATGAGTTTGCACAAGCCCTACCGAATCGTGCACACACTTGCAGACACGTTGCGAAGATACTAAACTAAACTAAGAGGCGTTCTGAAATACTTATGCTACATACATACATGTGAATTAATATATATGAAAAAACTAAATAAAAAAATATAAAATTAAAAATGTTTCACTAAATTTATTCAAGAGGACTTCAGAGTGTTGGTGTTATAGTTTTTAATATTTAAAATAAATAAATTGCAGTATAAAATCCCAAAAAGTTTTTTAAAATCAAAGTGTTCGCTTTCTGCACAAAATTTCTTCTTTTATTAAGAGACATTCCTTGCTCACCTGCACTCCCACGTTGCGTAACCGTTAGCGTAGCTGTAAATCACATGTGCGCTCATAAATATGCAACAATTCGATGAAGCTAAATGAACATTTCCTCTCGTATTTGGTTAAATTAACATGATGCTAAATCGCGTGTGTGTGCGTGCTCATCGTATGTATAAACAATATAGCTAAAAACTGTAGAGTATAAAAGCATACCCGATAGCTCAGGATCCAACAGTTCGCTTTCGTAGCCTCAAGAGGACAAACACATATTGGAATTAACAAACATATTGAAAATGACTTTTTTGAAAATCGGCGCTTTGCTGCTGGTTCTATCAGTGGCCTTACATCAAAGCACTGGCAGAACCGTTTGTGGCCCCGCTTTGGATGCGGTGCTCAGCGCCATCTGCGTGCATGGCTTCAACACAAAATTCAAGAAGTCAAGTGAGTACAAGACGCTTATATGAAACATATGTATATATGTATATACATAGATGCGCCGATGAATTTCGGATTTGATATAAACATGTCGACTTTCAGTGGAATGGGATGAGCTGGGCAATAATGCTGTGGAAGATGAGCTGGCTTTCCCTTATGCCAGATTTCCCTTTTTGGCTGAGATTCACGGCGGTGCGGTGAATACATTGGCAAAAACTCGCCGGCACCGAGACACGATCGTAACCGGTGTCTATGATGAATGTTGCAACAAGGACTGCACTTACAATGAAATTCTCTCGTACTGCAATCGGTTTGAATAAACTAAATGGCTCAGCAAAAAATCGCATTGAATAAATGATTTTTGGCTTTTACAAGGTTCTATCATAAGGCTCTCTTTTGTAAGAAGATTGTTGAAAAACATTTGAATTTATGTTAATAAAAAAAATTTACTGCATAACAAACAAATGCAGTTTGAGTTACAAACAATTGTAGAACCTTCGGTCTCACGAATTTCGGACGGGCTTCCATAAATATGCAACATTTGAGCATGACATTTATACCATGCACTTACGAACAGACATGTAGCCTAACTGCTCTTGACTGAAGCCGGATCTCAAAGACAATGGATCCCACATTTGTTGATTGGTCGGCGTATTTTTATTTATTCGAAAGGTATTTGTGAAATAATGAATTCAGTTTCACAGGTGCGATAGTGTTTTCGGTTGGAGAAGTTTGTTTGGAGAGGATACAAGATGAATCAAGCTATTGAAATAAGTTCCATTTCGAAGTTCGAAGATCATTTTGTATAAATGCATTTAGTGTTGGTAAATAATTCGAGAATCATTTTCGATTGAAAGACCTGTCCAACTGACAGTAAAATACTAAATTCAGTAATTTTTCTTCCATATTTACATTCCAGAGTCGAACCGAATTCTAGTTCGATACAGTACATAGTGTATAGGAATTTATTAAAGAATATTAAGCAGGGCTGCAAACCACTACAAAAATCGATCCGGTTCGGTTCAGTGGTTCGAACCACTCAGAAAATACTTATACCGGTTCAAGAACCGGTTTATGAGTTTAGTTTTACTAATTGATATGAAAAAACCCATGCGTATATACATATGGTATGTATGTACGACAATAAAAGGCTTCGTAATTGGGATCAAATTCGTGTAAAATATGTACTAAAACTTCTCTTTAGCGTTAATTACAAAACCTAGTATGGAAGGTACGAATTGTTGTTATTATAAGTGTACTATATACGTATAGCATGACAAAATGTAGACTGTCACTAAAAGAGAAAGGAATTTCTTCTTCAAAATTTCACCAACGATGTACTTTGAAACGTCGGCGTGCTTTCTATGTATGTGTCTCGCCAAATTTGCAGTAAGTTTTCCTTTCATTTTAAATTTGCAATGTATTCACTCATTTGTATAACAATTTTTGACAAAACTAAAGCTTTTGTGTACTAGATTCACACTCATTTTAAAAATATTTACAAAATAATCATTTTAAAGTACGCGAACTTCTGAGAACACACCTGCGATTATTTGAAATTTCATAAAGGGAAAAATTACATCTCATGTCGTTGCATTCAAGCAAAATTGTGGCAGCATCTTAAAACAAAAGCGGCTTGGTTCGTGGCTCGGCTAAAGGCTAGTAAAAGGAGGCGGTTCGCTGCGAAACCGGTTCGGTTCAAAACCGGTTGGCAGCCCTGATATTAAGTCTACAACAAACTGAGAAACATTTATAAGGAGAGATAAGAAAACAACTTTAGATGACTGTCGTAACAGAATTGCCATATTGAAGCAACTTTAATCACTAAATCCAAAAAAGAATTACATTCCCCTTCGAAACGTCAAAACCCCATATATTTTGTTATAAATTTTGTGCTGCATAATAATGCCGAGTGTTATCAGTTTTCTCATTTGGCCAACAACTGCTGTGCTGCTCACTAAGATTATTTATCTACACATTTTGCCATCTCTATAGCTGTGTGCAATAAGTGCTTTAAATTTGGTCGTCAATGGCAACGGCAGCTGTTATTCGCACCACAAGTACCGCTATTCCTGCAAATTTCATTTTTGGTGTTGTAAGTGACGTTGACAATGTTGCAGTCAGTTTGCCAGATTTCGCTTGCCATCTGACAAATTTAACTATGACACCCCTACCAACAACATTGCCGCTGCTCGTTAGCAAGTTTTTGCTCGGTTTGTCTTGCTGCTCTGCTTTTCACTTCGACAAAACAACTTCCTGTCGACGATGGGCTTCTTACAGATTGCTGAGATTAATATTGTACTTATTGGCTATTTTTCGTTTTCGTCCTCTCTGTCGCTGGCTCCCGCTAGTCGGAGAATTTATCATATTACTAATGTCTCCCGTTTTGCCATTTTTACGAGTACTTGACAGTCAGCTCACTGCTTTTGTCCGATTTCAACTCAGCAATTTTTTCAAAAAGGTGTGCTGAAAGGCTAAAATTCAATGTTGACAGTTGAGATTTTCAGTCATTGTTGGATCTTAATTTGTGCCAGTAAGCAGTTCATTGGGCCCTCTTCACCTCTTCACAGAGTTGTCTGAGTGCTGAAATTCCCAATATACTTATGAGTTAAAGCAGAAGTATGATTGCAACCATAGCTGAGCTTAGGCCTACAACACATTTTGGCTTTGATTCCAGCTTTGGCTTCATAGGTTGCACAGAATTAATCAACCTATAGCCCATGCTTCATATCCAAGTCTTGATAAAAGTAATTTTGTATAGAAGTACAGTTTCTGCACGTAGGAGGATTTTGAAGGTTTTTGAAGATTTCAAAAGTTATGTTTCATTGGAACCGATCCGATGTTCTAATTTATTACTTGCTAAATCGACAGGGTACAACAAAGTTAGTTACTTACGAACTCCAATATGCCTAAGATATGAAAACTTCGACTAGTACCTTATCAGGCATTAAAACGAATGGGATCCATTACAGATTATAATACATACATATACATATGTAAAGTAAATTGATAGATTAGTACAATTTTAGTGCACAAAACTTAGTTTTAAGGCATTAGATCACTTTAATCACCATTAACAATTTGTCACTTATAACTTGCAGATAATTTTTAGGTTTTATTTATAATAATATGCATTTATCACTTCGTTAATTTTTAGAATATTATTATAGTTAAATATAAAGAAATGTATCTATTATATTTAAGTATAAACTGAGTTTGCATCTTGAAAATTGAATTGTGATGTAATACGGTTTCCTTCTTCCTCCCAAGTTCTTTGCTCTTAATTAAAACTAGAATAATATTTTGTTTTTTGCCATCAGCTGACTGTGGTCACTGGATGCTTAAACTTGGCCCGCGCAATATCTAGCAATGTCGGAGTAGGCACAACCGTAGCTGCAGCATTCGTCCGCTATTCCAGTGGTATGGGTCACCTGCCGCCGCAAGCGCTTCCCAGTGATTCGATGTTTTCGACGCCAGCGGGCCTCCTCCTTTAGCATGCGCTTCAGACTAGGATGACGCTTTCCTTTCCTGGGTACTACTGATGCCTCCCGTTGGAATTGTGTCGTAAATTTTAGTGGTAACAGAAATCGATCGGCGTGCCTGCGACTGCGCAGAAAACGTATGGGGCCATCTGTCATTTGTTCAGAGAATAAAAAGATAATTAACTTAATTAGCATGTGTCGAGTTAAACACAAACTTATTGCCTCACTGTTTCGAACTCTTGGCCACAAGCGGTTGGTACCGCACTTACCCAAATTTTTTTTATTGAAGCCATTCTTGCAAACACTGAATAGCATAATGTCCAGAGCGTCGCCGCAAAGAAACTTCGGTGGTTTTTCCGCTTCACAAACTTGTACCAACAACAACAAAGACAACAAAAGTATAAGTACCCAAATTAACTGTCGCAGGGGATCGCTCAATTTTGAAAAAGCTGGTGCCATATCAGCTTTTTGTGATCTTTCCACATCTCGCTCGAACTGACCAAGTACGTACTTTACAGCGCCACCGTTTGTTTGGAACTGAGCTATGAGAGCGACTTCCACTACTTAGTTTAAGTGAATATATGTCACTAAATACAAGAAGAGAATTGACTGACGCGTGTGTGAACGGGACCGCCTATATCTGCGTGTGTGTGCAACGAACAGCTGTTTCCAGTGACGTTTCAGGACGTCAGGTAGAATAGTTGTACGAATGAGTGTCTGCTACAAAGTGATTTATGTACAGGCGTTTGATACTTACGGTAGCTATGTATGCGCGTACATATGATGATACATATATAAACGACCCTCTAAGTACATGATCTCCATAGGGCATTAGTTTGTATTGGATGCATGAGGTTTGTTACAAATTGTACCTGATCATCTAGAGGCACATAAATAAAAACAACCAACTTATTATTATTATTATTTTCTAATACTAACCTTTTTTTTTTGTGTAAAAACATATTTTTTTAAATTAACGATCCACTCTGTACTCGGGCGATAATATACATACACATGTGTACTTTTAAGTAAGTAGCTATACATATGTATATAAGAATTTCTATATATAGCAACGATGCTAACAACAAAGCGATTGATAACTCAGAGTAAAATATATTTGCTTATTTGCGTTTGGAAATTAGAATGATCATCTATAAAAGTCGTACGAATATGTAAGTTCGAACGCACACCACGACACCATTGAAATAGTAACAATAGTCAGCTGAGCACTCAGCTGCTTAAAGCAGCTGCGATAAGTGACTAAACGCCCTGTACACCATGCGGGTATTTCCTCGCCATCTAGATGTGCTAATATAGGGTGATTGAAACAAAAATTTCAGCTCCGCTATTTATAAATAAACCATTTGTAGACACATTCGTATCAATATTCAGTCTGAAAAGATGCCGGCATGACTTTGGGTAGCAGCAGTATTGGCATTATCATTCCAAATGGTGAATGTTTTTTGAAAAAGTACAAAGAATTAAATTGCATCTATACAAAAGCTTCGTTCACTTAGCTATCAAACGTTCGCCGAACGTTCTTGAGAACGCGCAGTGATAAAATTGATTTTAATGATTTAAAAACCCCATACAGTACCTCCTAAGTTGTCAAAGCTTTCAAAGCTGTTGGAGATAAAATACTCGCTTTCATATTTACCTGTAGTATCCAAAGGTTTTATGAAGGAGTTAAGCCGATTTCTCATTTAAACTCAACTATATATCGCGTGTAGTCTAAATGTATTAGTGACAAAATAAAAATGGTTGTTTTTTGGGAATATTTAAACATTTGTTTTCCTAATGACTTACCCTGTAAGAAATAGATGTTGTATCAGATAGCCACCGGAAACTTGTCGTTTCGCCACTATTTTAAGGGCACATGAAAACAAAAGAACAATACGCACACTCACCCATGCTCGGCCTCAGCCACTAAAAATATCAGTTCAAAAAAAAACGCGCGTGCATAAAAGATTGTTTTCAAATAGATTACATTGTGCCATTGTTGTTTTGGTGTTTAGGTCAAAGAAAAACAACAACGAAATTCCCTAAGGCATTCACATTGTTTATTCGTTGTAGTTTTTAAATATTGCTGAGGAAAGAGCTGTGCCAAGATAGCATGAATCTAAAAATAAACTCAGAAGTCTAAATTTGGAAAAACAAAGTTTTATAGCCGCAGACTTATCCGAACATTTCAGCGGTTGGATTCTATCAAATTATGTCTGGTTTGTACCGAAAAGAAGCAACATACTCCAGGTTCTCCAGATCTGAGGGCAACTTTCCTGAAGCACCAAAAATAAATATTTTGACACAAGTTCAAATATAAGTAAAAAAAATTAAATCTGAAATTTAAAAATTCCTTGAATTAAATGCAGTCGTGAAGTGTGTGAACAGTCATGCCCTTACTTACATTCAGATGCATAGCTATGTGTGTATGTACGGGTGTGTTTAGCTGCGCTTGCATAGAAATGAATATCTTTCAAGTAATTAGCTTATACTACCGCCTTATAAGTTCCACTCGACATAACTCTCACATAATGTGATTTCTTAGTTTAATCTTGAAATGCAAATATATATATAATATAAATCGACAAGCTGCTCGTTTCTACTCAACTAAGAAAAAACACTAACTTAACAGCTCGGAGTCGATCTGCATCCTCTTTGCAAAAAGGTGTTGAGTTTCATTAGGTGGATCGTGTACTATCTTACACGAATGCCTTCTGAATGATTGTATAAAAAACGACAACCAAATAATGGTAATAAAGGTTTTGCTTATGGTAAACTTTTTACTTATATGCTGACATTTACACCTAAACATCCCAAACATTATTAATTTTTGGTAGAGACATTCTACTAAAAAAATATACTAAATTCTTCTTATTACAAGCTTTTGTCTTGAGTTTGGAATTAGACAGTGTTCTCGAGTGAAATCTTAAAAACGAGCTGAAAACGTATTCCCCGTTGAAAAATTATAAAGCTAACATCTCCTGATTTCTATGTAAGTTTTTTCATTATTTATATTGTCAGTATAAAAGAGTTTCATTAAATGGATTTATAGTTTTGTGCTATACAAGTATAGTAAATATTTTGCATGCTTGAATGAAGTTTTTCGTATTGTTATATAGTCACAATGGGTGAGTTCGGAAGCTACAAACCGCTTTAAGACTGCGTGTATTCAGTTTTAGCTTTCTATATGAAAAGCGATTGAAATATTTGTAGTTTCCTTCTAACTTCTCCCATGGAAAATGTTCGACGTCAAGGTCAATGGATTCGTCGAATGCAAGTTGCGAGTTGCGATAATTTCGAAACCAATTAGCTTGCTTTTCTGGAAATATTTACAGTTCTACATCGAATGAAGATACTTGAACACATATGTGCATACATATGTACTTTTCAAAAATAAAAGTAAAAGTTTGCACTCGGTACATAACAGCAAATGTTTTCGAACAAATTTTTAATAAAAACATTTCAAAGTATTTCGTTAGTGGAAGACACGTTTTCGGCAAGGGTCAAGGCATATTGGTTTGAGTTCATGAAGCACAAAATAAATCTCAACTTGGTCTTTGCCAGTGGCCTTAATAATTCATTTTATTTCTGCTTCTGCTGCGCATGTATTGGGAACGAGTTTACAGTACACACACTCCATCATTATCAATGGTTCAGTACATCACATTTCAGATGATTTATAAAAGTGTTGTTGTAGCGTTATTGTTGCCTCGCACTCTATACATTTCGTATGTTTACAGAGAAAGACAATACAATAATAAATTTGCTTCCATCATCGCCCCAATTGGTCCTCGACTGGCTTGTTCATGTAAATAAATCTAGCATTTTATTGTTTTTTTTTTCTGTTTCTGTTTTTGGTTTTTGACGAGTGAGCAAACAACGGCAAACAAACAAACAACAAAAGGCCTGAAGAAGCATGAGAATAACAGAATAACAACACTGATAGCGGCCATTGGCATGTCCCAATCGACTTCAATGCAAACGCACACTTTCAATATTTACATACAAACGCTCTGTGTTTGTTGTTCTTGGCACTTATCTTCGTGGAATGCTTACGGTAGCTTCAGCCGGTCAGACAATCCGTCGACCGCGCCCGCTGCCTTGTTGCAAACCGCTCAGCTACTAAATTCGCTCTTTAGCTATGATCACTAATGGAGACATTTTAATAATTGTCGTATATTAATAAGGGCCGATTGCACTTGTTGTACGAATGTATGTATTGAATTGGTACACACATTTATGCATAAATGCTTTTCCTAAATGTAGATATCTATGTATGTATGTACATATTAGCGACGAAATGAAGGCAGGAACAGCAAATTGATAGCAGTTAAAGATAAAAGGATAAACGCCACAAAATATCGAAGAATGTGTGTATGTATGTATTACAGTTATTAATGGGCGTAGGTTAAATGGTGCAAAATTAAGTAAAATTGATTGAAATCCAGGCGCCGCCAAGCACACAGAAAAGCGGAGGGGGAGAAGGATTATAATGAATAATATCGAACAATGGAATAGACCGGGAGAAAGAGGGCAGAAGGAATAGAAAGGAAATACTAGTAAACCGAAAGATACATTTTTGGAATTTGCAGTTGGCAGTTTTATTTTGGCTACGTAAAACTCGCAAAATTCTGGGCGACACACCTACTGATAATGGCTCCAATTTGATTGGAATGACTCATCAGCTAACGCGATTTCTTCCTGCAGCTATACTCTTTCTTTCAAATTTCATTCAAGGCATGGATTTGCGGATAGCTGGACTTGCGGAGTATTTTCTTGTTAAAAGCAAAAATTTCAAAGAACATATTAACATAATTTGAGACCTTGTGACACCTGCACTTGATTTTACTTTAACTTTTGCCTAGTCTGTGGGCGTAAAGCCGGCCTCACAAGCTACTAATTTTCACTTGCCTTGGCTGCCAACCAATTTTTAATTTCTTAAATTTTTGTACTTTTTTTTGCCAAGTTTATGGAGTAGCTCTCGCATTCGCAACAGTATTTGAAAGAATGATTGCTACGATAAGAGTCCAGTAATAATGCTACACTTACGCCAACTACCAATTGAAATTATGGTGCCGTAAATTACAGTCTGTGCGACAACACGAACTTCTGTTCTTTCCGAAGCTTCTAAAGCTAAACAACAATTCTGGGAATTCAAGCAAAGTCATAGAAAACGATTTAAAGTTTTGACATTTTGAAGAATTGTTTATTTCTTTTTCGAAATTCACTCTTCCCACGCTTTGAACAAACTCTCCACTCTCCTATTATTTGTGATACATCAAGCAAAGAGTTTTTTAAAACCTTGGTTGATGGTTTAATGAACTTCGCCTCCTTTATAATGCTCCTAAGAAATCTATCAGAAATAACCGATAGCAGGCAATGAAAGTTAAAAAAAAGTTGCATAATTTAGATACATTTTCGCCGTATCATTAAATAAAAATGTTGCAAAATAAATTCGTAATTTGAAAACATAGCTAAAAAGCCTTCAAGTCATGTAAATGAAATTTAAAATGAATTTCTACAACTCCAGTCCATCGAATATCATCTCCACCATACTGACAGTCACAACAACTATTCATGTTCATATCTTTTTCCCCTTTTCCCATGTTTACCCTAACGAATATCGTATTTGCACACATTTGAGGGAAATGGGCGCTTATGTGTGCTTATGTATTCGTGCCTTCATATCTGCACTAGCTAAATATGTACCGTAAACTTCGAAAGACTCACTGGAAAGCAACAAAGAGTTTCTAACCCATAATCTTTGCGCTCGTGGTCTCCGTCACTGGGACTTGAGTTAATTGTCAAATATTTGCCAGCCTTGTGTTCTGCAATTAAACTCCTGTACGAACTTACCTGTGCCGAGAAATACGAAGACGCTGAGACATCACACATACAGGGGTTTCCAATAGAAATTCATTAAATTTGTATTTAATGTGAAGTACAATCGGTACAATTAAGTTTTGAATATAACATCATTTAAATGACCTCCATGACTTCTTTTGCATCCAATTTTCAAGTTCCTTTACCAAATCAATTCGTATGTCATGAATACCACGTTCAATATTGACTTCTTAAGCTTGAAGAGGGTCTGGTTTATTGCTAGAGACCAATGACTTCAAATAACTCCACAAGAAGTAGTCTAATGGTGTTAAATCACAACTACTTGGAAGCCCTTTAATGTCACAATTTCTTGAAATTATCGAATGTCCAAACTTTTCTCGCAATAGTTCGGTGGTTGCACGTGCTGTGTGGTACGTAGCCCCGTCTTGTTGGAACCAGTTATTGTCAAGATCAACTTCTTCCAATTGCGGCCATAAAAAGTTTGTTATCAACGATTTATACCGCTCTCCATTGACAGTAACGTGTCACCAGCTTCATTTCGAAAGAAGTACGTACCGATGATTCCACCAGACCAAAACCACATCAAACTGTCAATTTAGGTGAGGGCGGTTGTTCATGAATAATTTTCAGATTTTCTACGCACCAGAATCGAATTAGTGTTTATTTACCACACCATTCAGATGAAAGTGTACGAAAAGTTGCAATTGGAGAGCGATTACTTTGATAATAAAATGTGAATAATTTGTAGACGTTGTTCTTGCGTATATCTTTCCAAGATTAAACTGTAAACCTTACTAAATGCAATGATAAAATATTATATTTTACATATCATGACTTATCAAAAATGGCCGAAACGACACTTAGAAATCATACCATCCCTATTGGAAAACCCGATACATATGAACCTGCGCAAAACCCAGAGCGTGTAGCTACGTTTGTTGGCATTGAGGCTAGGAATTGGTTAACATAAAGTGTATACTCACAGTTCCTGGAGTCAACTACACACCTGCCCCTGCTTCTTGGATGTTAAGCTCATTTGAGCGCGTGGCAAAGTGTCACTCCAAGGTGGAAGTGCCGCTTAGGTATGCAACTGGCACAAACATACATATGTACGCGGGTGCCTGTAGCGGTAGGGTCGTGGCTGGTGCATTGCACTCGAATGAACTATCAGATGATGCCAATTCGACTTTATAACAGCGGTGATAATAACCAGTGTGAAATTTCTTAGTGCAAAACTTTAGAAATTCAGTACAATCTTTGGTGCCACCATCACTGATGTTTGTTGCATATGTGTACGTGGAACATGAGGTAACTTAGTTGCCACATTCCGCAAAAAAAATAAACTTAAATGCCCTTTTAGAGTCCTTATATTCAAAATTGAAATAAGTTGTAATCGGTTCAATGAAGTGTGTGGAATTGTGACAAACCTTTATTTCGAAAATAAAAAGCCTACATATATTTTAATCAAAATCTGTCTAAAATTTTGCTTAAAACACATTTATTATAGTCTTCTTGTACCTTCTGCGATATTCTTGAAAGACCTCAGTTGATTGTTCTACATTTAAGAAATAAAAAGGCCTCAAAGAGCTTATACTGTCGGAGAAGATTTTGAGCGGCGATATCGGGGGATTTCTAGAGTTGCGATATGTTTCTAATGCTCACACGACGATTTTCGTTTACTATTTTTTCGATAAAAAGTTTAAGGCGAGTTAAGCGGTATCCCACTATGCTTAAATCCCCTGAAATATTTGTAAGGATACTTAAGAGTTGACAACGTCAAATCTAGAATAAAATTGAATTTGGCCAGAACTTTACTGAAATGTTTCTGCGCTATATTTTGGCTTACATTTTATTGCAAATCTTCAATTCAACTGCAAATTTAATAAAATCATAATTTTTTAAGCCTGAGCGCTGCAAACAGTTAACACTTAACCCCGAAGACATGAAAGATAAATTTTATTTAATGCCAAAAATTTGTTGGCAGACGGCCAATTTCAATTTTTAGCGCACATCCATAAACGCGTGTAAACGTGTTCTTGCAAACGCCCCACCCACCACACACCAATTGTCATCGATGCATGTAGGCAAACAGATGTGCTACATATGTGAGTACTAGAACGAGAATTGTGTGAAAAGTGGAGAAAAGAAGAAGGCGGTATGAAGACGGTGCGATTGAAATTAAGCGGGTGTCGCATAAATCAGAAGCACACACGCACATCCAAGCAGGATTATAGGGTGGGAATTGCTCCCACATGTCCCGCCCCAAACTCGTTGCTGGTGTCCACCTCAACCGTTTGCCTCTTCAGTTGTTGTTGTTTGTTAAGCAGCAACCTATTGCCAGTACGATTTGGTGTGCAAATATTTGTCGGCACACACACACACACATGCCGGCGCGTATCCTGCAATTTTCATACAAATTTGAATATGTGCAAATGCTCACGCATACACTTAAAACAAAGTGCACATCATAAAAATATCTCAATTTTTATTCATGCATGGTTAATGTGGCCAACAACAATAAAACAAAGCCATGTTGTGTGAAAGAAGCGTACACATGTGTGTGTGTGCACAATTTATATAAATGCAAGTTTGTTTGTATTTATAATCTTACAGGCCACTTTAAAAGCTTTTATGCACACACTCACACACATACCGCACAGCAATGCAGTATATAAAATGCGAAATGGGAATAACAGCGAGCCAACGGTATTGTGTGCTCAGCAACAACAACGTCAACACAAATATAGCAATAAACAATTTAGCCAAATTTATGGGGTCTCATTTACTGCACTTTTTCTCTTCATAATTTATGACCTAAGCAGGTATATTAAATGTCCTGTAAAAAATACGCATAAAATGTCCCAAAAGCAACACCAACAACCACACTGTTCATAGCGAAACGACACAACAGCATGCGGCGGCATAAAAAACGCCAAATTGTGTACTTTTTGTGACTAAATAAAAATTTTAGAGAGACGGAATGGGTCTCGACACACACACCTGCGCGACTGCGATGCACACACACATACATACATCAGCGGAGAGCCGCACTGTAACACGCGCTTAGCAAACGCTCGGACAAGGCGACAACAATCACACCAAGTGGGACTGCGCGGCGAGAAGGCGAGTGTGCTGTTTAGATTTTCCGGCTTTAAGTGGCCAAGGTGTGTAATTGCTAGCCATTGCAGGACACTTGCGATTGGGTAATTTCCTGAATCTCAGCGCCGTTAAATGGCACACTGTATATATTTTATTAAAAGTGCATTCGCGCAAATAATAAACTGCACACAAAAACACAATAATAATAAAAGTTGAAGTAATATTGCAGTTCTGGTTCCACCTGCTGCCATTCGCGATATAAGTGAAAGAGAGCAAAAAGTAAAATGATTCCTTTAAAAATTATGAGTCGATACATTTTGAATCAAGAATAAACTTCACCAAATCCAGCCGAATCCCGCCGAATCTGAGCCAAACATCGGTAAACCGCACGCATTTCGCAGCAGGTGACAGTCTCTGAAGTGCAGGCGCTGAGAACGCTAATAACCATTAGAGAATTGATATTTATACTTGTCGCCTTGCAATAGACAATTTAGGACCATATAATCCATTACCAATTAACGAATTTATTTGTGCATCAAAAGTCATCTGGATAGATGTGCGTGGGTCTAAACTCATAGGAGTTCAATAAGCATTAATATATTAGGCTCAAGCAGGAAAAGACTTGCAAAGATAACAAGCAAACTTTCATATAAAACAATTTACATAAAAACTTTCCGAGTGCGTAAAAAAAGTGAAACTTTCCAGTAACTGTTGCCGCATTTGTTTATTTTTGAAAACCTTTCTTTGCAATTTCAAATAGTTTGCTTCATTTATTTAAATATAACTTTTAAGCTTATGTCCGAGCAAAGCCGGTGGCAATTATCTTGGCGAGTAAAATTATATGTACATATGTTTATCCGAATACCATTTATTCTTAAAATAAGCCAGAGACATTATACCTCATGTCTCTTTATTTGAGTTTTTGATTATTTTTAATAATTTTAGTTAGCGTAGGAATTACAAATATCTAATTGAAAGCGAGTAACTAATATTATGTAGTACGCTGAAATCTCTGCTTCAGTGCTTAGTGTAGTGGTGCTTCAGTTTTAAAATGTGTTGCAATAGGAAAGAATCTCGTTGTAGCTGCAGGCCTTGCTGCAACATTCATCATAAACACCGGTTACCACCGTGTCTCGGTGGCGACGAGTCTTGGCTAACGTGTCAAATTGGGCGCCGTGAATCTTGGCTAAGAATGGGGAGTTGGCATATGGGAATGGCAGCCCGTAGTCCACTTCATTGTTTCCCAGATCATCCCACTCCACTGATTTCCAAATATATGTAGAAGTTTTAATTTATGAGGAAGTTGAATTAATTGGGCAGTACTCAAATCTTGAGCGGCTTACTCACCTGATTTCTTGAACTTTGAGTTGAAGCCATGGACGCAAATGGTGCTGAGTACAGCATCCAAGGCCGGGCCACAAACGGTGCGTTGGCTTTGACTTTGTGGCAACAACGCTGCCACAACGATCAGCAAGGTGCAGATTTTCAAGAAGTTTATCAGTATCATAATGGCAGTGCTGTGTTCTCGAATATATCGCGAAACCTAAAAAGTTGCTTCTATGGCAAAGCGGTCGAATGAAGCTGTGCAAAGTAACTGATGTAATTCGTAGCTTTTGCCTTTCTTTTTATAGAAGTAAATTCGCAAAAAGAGATGAGCTAGCTGGCTCTCCTGTTAATTAGCATATGTCAATTCAATGCATCTCATAATTGTTTACTTCTTAAGGTACTGCAGGATGAAAGGTGAAGGTCGACAACAAGTTTTCAATGAAATGTGTTGCATATTTATGAGCGCACGTGGAAAATTTACACGTATAGATATGTATGTAAATGAGAGTGCTCGCCGGTTTGATCCAACAAGACTTATCTCTCATACCAAAAAGTTTAAACGTGTTCGGCTGAAATTTCTTGTAGTCTTTTAGACTACCGTAAGTATATTATGCATGGTTACAAGGATAATGAAAGCGTATTTATCTTTAACTGACTTTATAAATAGTTAATTGAATGAGTACGACTAGTAAAAGACAATGCTTCACAAGAAGTACTGTTACCCCGGACAATTTTCCCTAGATTCGTTCTTAAACTTCTTCTATTTTAAGCTTTAAGCTTTTGTTGCGAAGTTCAGCTGTTAGACCAATTGATTTTTTCTTTAAGATAACATAAATAGTTCGGGTAGTGATATCGCCTCTTAAATTATCCTCTCGCATATTCGCCTACACATTTATGTACCCCGCTCCGCAATGCACCAAATATACCTCGCCTATGCATTGGAGTTATGTCTCAATATCACAGCTAACATATTGTCCAAATATTGGCCATAACTCTAAAGGCAACAATAAAATATTTATTATGGCCATTAAAAGACATTCAACTTAGCTTCTGCAAACATGCAATCCACATGTATTTTTATTTCTTCTTATGTATTATTGACCGATACCACAAAACATGGCAAATTTTGATAAATCGGTAAGCAAAATAGTAGTTCTCTTTTTAACCGTAACTTATCTCAGTGTTAATTTGATCCCACGACCCCTTGAGTAAAAGTCACGCACTCAGTTATCTGATTTGCTTTCGAAGATAAATATTCCCAATTATTTTTAGGTTGAAGCTAAATCGGAAGACAATTGTATTTGTAATGTCAACGTGAAAGACTGGGTGGTTTTTGGAAGCACGGAGTTTTGCCTCTTTTGTATTGGCATAGAATTTTATTTCACTAGCATAATTCATAATTCTGAATTAAAATGAGCCGCTATATTACAATATTTACAAAGACCTTTCTTGTACCTACTCTGATTTTTAGCGAAACGAAAACGAATTCAAGGTTAGTCAAACTGTTGAGAAGTTTTTGAAAGTTCGGCAGAGAGATGGAAATCTAAAAAGCCTTTAAAGACAATAACTATGACACATACATAAAAGAAGCACTAAAAGACTAAAAGCATTAAACTAAGTAACTAGAAAATTTTCACTTAAGATGTTAGGTAGAGCAAGTGTTTTTTTTTGTTTCTGCTAATATAATTTCCAGAGGTAAATATAAATTATTATGCTGAAGACTTCTGAGAGTAATTCCTGCAAACACTCTCCACCAAGCTCCATCAACACTTTCCGCAAGAATCGGCCAGAGTCGCATACAACAAATAACGTTCAGCAGGTCTTTGTGCTAAAAATTATTTCTGCGATAAAAAATTGCCATATAATTCATGCCCAAGTGGTTCTGAGTCTGCAGAAGAATGCTTTTGGCCAAGCCAAATAATGTCTGTATGTAAGAGTGCACTTACTCGTGCATAAAAGAGAAATTTCAGTCACATTATTAGCACGAATATATATACTCATCATTTTCATTTGCCAACCGCACACTGGTCTTCTGCCGCTGGCCATGCCAAAAGCTTCGAGGCACCAAAACGTTGTCCAATCGATCGTTGCAAAAAATGACAGTGGAAAATTTACGACTTATTAGTTTCCGCCCAAATAGCTCCGGAATATGACCAAAAATCGAAGAGCCGTATATGCTGCAGCGTCAACGCCTTTCCGCTGCGTACTTCGCCACGCTTCATTCGACTTGGCAAGCTCTGAAGCTTCCAGACACATTCGAACGCCCCTTTGACGCTTTGTCCTTTGTTATATCTCACTTTTTTGCATGAAAATTGCAAGTCGTATTTATAACCTAATTTACTACGACAACATTGTAGTAAATTAAACAAACATTTCGCTTTATATCTTATTTTTACACTTAATGGCTGATTGGAGCGCACGATGTGGCAGTAAATCGTCTGCGCCAAAGTCCTGCTCAATGTGGGCGCTTGAGTGTCCGCGCGGTAATTAAATTGTGAGGACACACTCTGCTTTCTCTGTTAAAATGTTATATATACCATACACGAGTATATATATATATATATATTTAACAGATGTATGAGTGGAGGAGACTCTTGAAAAATGTATAACTCAAATCTTTGGTCTCCCATCCTCTCCTGTAACCTGTTTTCTTCGTAATTAAAACTTTTATATCAAATTTTTTTCATCAAAAATAGTTCTCATTAGTGGGATTACTATTAAAGGGAAAAAGTGTTACAGTAGCAAAATAGATGTGTTCGCTAATCGCAGCGGGCAATTCGGCAGCTCCTCGTTTGGGCTGAAATATTCTTAGTGAATCTTAGGGAAATTACTCTTAGTGATGGCGGCAAATCAATAATTTGCAATAGCAGTACACAGGTTATTCACAGCTCCAATGTTGCAATTTAACTCTCAAATACTCGCTTAGTTGATATAACAGTCAAATTAGCGTATCCATAATCCGAGTAAGTTCGAATACAGCTCTTGCCCTAAGCACCATGGCTAATAAAATTATACAAATTATAGTACTTTGAATGGTTTAGCCACCATTTTCAAGTTGACATAGAACTTTATCATTTCTCAATACTCTTATGCAATATGTTCAGACAGAGTTGACAACAGTTTGGCACTTGCTGAATATCCTATTTTATCCTTAGACACGCAAGTATAAGCTCTAGAAGCTTTTTCTCTTCCAGCAGAGAATCTATGACTTGAAAAGGTGTCGTGCGATTTATGTTCATACTGCCTTTCTTATCTTATGCTATATAATGGAGTACAGCGCTCAACGCCATACATCGCCACAAGCCCAGAGAACATAAGAGCACCACAAGAACCTCGAGCTGTGTGTGTGTGCGAAAAGTGTTTTCCTTTTCTTGCTGTGAAAGCAACCATAGGATGCTGCTTATAGTAAGCAAGCACTGGTTTTTGCCGATAGTTACGTATGTATGTTTATACGTATACATTCCATAGGAATATTTTGAGATAAGGCAATGTAATTTTTGCATTCGTTGTTAAACCTTAACTTACATAATAGATTTGAAGCATGACATAATGTTTGCTGATGCTCAAAGAGGCACGTGTTAGGCATACTACAATATATAAAGGCGAAACAAAAATTGAGAGCAATAACATCGATAAAAATCAAACCAAGTTATTATAACTTTTTTTTAGGTGCAAAAGAAAAGTATTATGAAATAATACACATCTTCCAGACCAAAATAGATATTTACCTTAAGCCTCAAAAGCTGTAAATCATATTTTATACGAACATAGTGCATTTATGTATATGCTGCCACCCGACCGCGGTTCAAATACAACTACTGGTCATCGTGTACATCCTCCAACCGTTACTATCACACACAGGAATAACCATCGTGGTGTCAGCGAAGCTCTGTTTCAACATCGCAAACTTACTACCGCCTTCCCCCTCGCTCTGCGGTCGTTTTGGGCGGACTGTTCCTGCCGCCTTTGTTGCTTTGTGGTATAAAATATATGAGCTGCGCTTTGGTGGTCTGACGCAGCGAGCATTTGCTTCTGACGATCATCAGTTATCACATTTTAAAATTTTGCATTTGTCAGTACTGCTACATTCCGCTTAGACCAGGATTTTATTCCTCGTTGTTCATGATGAGATCTGTACTCGTAGTTCCATGATTTTTTTTTGTGGCAATTCAACCATTGACGCCATCCAGCTCGTGCTATCAATTTCGAATACGAAATATCTAGCAATGCTTCTTTAAAGGCTGAAGATTTCATCAAGTTGCTTTTGCTAACTTAAATGTTAACTTTCTTATTCGATTTAAATTTATAAAATTAAATTTAAAAAAGTGAATTTGTGGCAATTTAGTTTTGCGTATTTTGCGTATATCTGAACTGCAAATAGCGCTGATTTTTCATCTTTTGTTCCAACACTGGCGGCCACAGCAGCTGGACGCAGCCGCAGCCAAACACATTCCTTTGGCAACCGTTCTCTGCAATCATTCGCGCTCGGCGTTGTGCTAAGTATTCGCTTATGCTGCGCTGACACATCCATCCGTTCATGCCGCATCCGATGTGGCACGCGAATTTTATGTTTTTCAATTCCGTGGTCGCTTTTCCACATTCCACCACCTTCCGCGCGCTATTTATTCTTGTTTCGCCAGCGCAATATTTTGTTCCATTAAAGTGATTCATTTCAAAATGATTCTTCTAGGAAGTCAAACGAATGAAAAAGCAGGCGGCGGGGGGTACGGGGAGTGCGGTGTGCTATTTTCAGCGCTACATTCGACTTCTGTTGCCTTCAGCATAACCAGTGTGCGCTCGTCCATTGCTGCAGCAGACGGCGTTAAGAATAAAAGATATTTTTATTGCGAAAAAATTAATTTAAAACGTGGTCAAATGTAGGACACAACACTTTTTCCTATTCTTCTTTACTCCTTTCCATTTGAATATGCTCATGCATATGTTCGTATGTATGCCTATGGATAACCGCACGCACACATAGCTATATGTGATATACCAGGAGGACTATTAGTTTTATAAAAGAAAAGTGTTAAACACCAGTGTATTGAAGCTTAGTGTGTAACCATGACAACTTCATAACTTGATAACTGTAGATATGAGCTTATTTCAAAACGAAAACAGTAAAAATATGAATTGGACTAAACTACAGTCCATTCGCCCCCAAATTCTATGTTTACCCGTCTCCATATCCGCACTGAAGAAAATCTGCAGAAGTGCATTCAATGAATTCCTTTGCCGATAGTATATATCCACGGTCTTCAAATGTCAGTCGGGAACT